CACTCACACACACACACACACACACACACACATGCATCTCACACACACATACAAACAAACACATGAATCTCGCACACACACACACACACACATACACATACACACAGGCATCTCGCACACGCACACACACACACACATGCATCTCGCACACACACACACACATACACATACACACAGGCATCTCGCACACACACACACACACACATACACACAGGCATCTCACACACACACACACACAAACACATGCAAGCAAGCACTCATACATGCATGCATGCATGCATACATGCACATGCACATACATACACACACACACAGGCATACATGCGTGCACAGACGCACACACACACTTCTGCACACAGACGTATAGCCTGTAAATATTTGTCTGCACTAAAGCAGTTTGTCTCGTCCAGGTGTCAGTGTCTCAGACTGTCAGATTCTGCAGCTGCAGCATCTCTAACCGCTTCAGTTCTTCTACTGGAATAATAAAAATATAGTAATGTCAGTAATGCTTATGAAAATATTAACAATACACAGTCAAATGCACATTCAGGGCATGTCTATCTGTCTCTCTCTCCCTGTCTCTCTTTCTCTCTCTGATCCGTTGATCCTGCTTGCTGGATTGGGTGTGTCCTAAATTAGCGTTTTGCGTTTGGGAGGAGGCCTGTGGGACGTTTAAGCCCTTATTAAAATCCTCCATCACATGAAGTAAAAAGCAAGAGGTGTGTGTGTGGGTGTTTCTAATTCAATGGCAAATTTGACATCTTTGTCTTATCTGACCAACAATCAATCTCTCCATATTTGTTTCCTCTTTTTTTTTTTTTTGCTATTGGAGCAAATTGGAACGCAAAAATGATATTTATTATAGTTTCCGTTCACCACTATAGAGACAGAGCGACACGCGTCATAATCTGAAAACGCCCACCGGGGGGGAAACAATCCAACGCTCTCCATTGACTGTCTATTGCGGGAAGCTGCCTCCTTGTCATTTCTGACTTATAACAAAAAACAGAGCAATGCCTAAAAGCTGCTGTGTGAGAAGGTGTACAGTAAACAAGCTAAAAAACCCAGAACTAGGTTTTTATAAACTGTCGACCCAAAAAAACGAGCGTCTAGGACACAAAAGTAGAGCGCAACGTGTCTATTACTCTGAGAACTGCACCCACTGGAGGGAAACGTAATCGGCGACAAGACCATTCATTATTTTAATCATATCAAAGGATTATTTCACCACCCGATGTGAATCTGAGAGGAGGAGATATATTAAGAAACTAAACTTTATTGGTCTATGTCAGTGCCCCTTTTCCTTACCTTCCTTTTGTTTGAAAAATGATCCAACTGAATGAAATACCCCGACATCTACAACAATTTGTGTCCTAAACGCTCGTTTTTTGGGTCGACCGCTTATAAAAACCTAGTTCTGGGTTTTTTAGCTTGTTTACTGTACACCTTCTCACACAGCAGCTTTTAGGCATTGCTCTGTTTTTTGTTATAAGTCAGAAATGACAAGGAGGCAGCTTCCCGCAATAGACAGTCAATGGAGAGCGTTGGATTGTTAAATTTAAATATTATATATATATATATATATATATATATG